ACGCAAGAATATAGAAATGATTGAAAGTAACCTTCATGTTATAATATGTGCACTGGGAATCTTTGTGCATTTATAGAAAATTTTAATGTAAAAGAAACTACAAAATGCAAACAATATGGAAGAATGTAAAAAAAGATTGAAAGTAAAGTTCATATTATAATATTTGCAGAATAAAATGAATTCCTATTTAGGTTCAATTTTCATAGCCACATTCGCGAAGATTTTATTTTGCATAAAGATCCGCAGTCTATTTATGATCTTAGATTGTTTGCTTTTAGCCATCTATCTTTATAACACGTTCAAATAACAAATTTCTAACAAAATAACACGAGCTCTTAAAAGCTCCCTTTACGTATCGAGCGAGTTTAAAAACGTTAAGCGTTGAAGATTGATCTAATTCTTCGACCGTGTTAGAGTGAAACCATGTTCCTGGATATCCTCGATTTTCTACAATTCTCGAACCGTATTGAACCACGGTACAAGGGGGTTGTCTGTGCGAATATTTATCTGGTTTTTGGAAAATTGTAGCGCTGTGGTAGGCGCGTGCAGAGAATATTATGCGGGGGATGTCGTAAAGGATCCTGACGGGAAGGAGGATCCGAGGGGAACGGCGGTGGTTGCGTCCGTATCGCCCCCACCAGGCGCGTCGCGACGTCCAGGGACGCCGTCGACGTCGAGACGCTGTGTGTGAATTCACCTTCAACGTCGCCGCCGTCTCAGTTACCAACAGATCGCGCGACCGTTCACATCGGGCTCTTTGTGAAGTGAGTCAGGCCGAGGGGGACGGAGAAGAAGACGAATCTTATGCGAGAAAGGGAAACAGTAAACCGCCATACATGCACGAGGGGGAGAGGAGAAGGATAGAAGCACCGCCTGGCGAAGGGAGAAAGCGCGCTAATCGAGAGTGAGAGAGAGAGAGAGAGAGGGTGGTAGAAAGGGTGAGAGTCGTCGCGTACGTATGAGAAAGAAAAGAAGGACGGAAGACTAATGGAAAGAAGGGAAAAAGTGAGAAGGAGAGGAAGAAAAGGATAGAAGGGAGAAGCGCGTTGAACGAGGGAAAGATCCTGTGCGAGCAAGGGAGAGAATTGCTGTGTATGCATGAGAAGGAGAAGGAGGGAAGAATAGAAAGCATAAGTGGAAGGAAGGGAAAGACCGCGTCAAGTCGGAAAGTGGGAAAGAGAATCCCATGCGAGAAAGGGAGCGAGGTGGCCGCCGCGCACCCATGAGGACGAGAGGGAGAAGGACAGAAGCGCGTTGAGCTAGAAAGAGAAAGAGTTGGCGCGTTAAGTGAGTGCAAGGAGGAAGGAGCGTGCGCGTTAAGCGGGAGCGCGAGGGAGAGGAAGCAAGCCCATCGAGTGGGAGCGCGAGAGAGAGGGAAAGTAACAAAGAAAGGCTCCCTTGCCGAGGGTCGATTCCGATCGACGAACCGTCGGTCCCCCTTCGTTAGTCTTCGGTGTGCCTCGTGCGGCACGAGCGTGCACGACACGATCAGTCACGTAGCAGCGGCCGAGCCGTACGGAACAAAGAAGGGAAGGAAGAGAGTGCAGAGAGAACAAAAGGAAGCGTGCGTCTACGAGCCGGTTGAGAAGAAAGGAAGCGTCCCTGTAGAGGAATATTTCATTCGCATAAGTTCGTACTTGTGGAAATCGGGGAGGGGAGAACTTCCCGTTTCCCAACTGGAATCTACTCGATTTGTACATAGTGTCCGTTAAAATTTTGTGCAGTGTGAAAGGGCACGTTGCACCGTAGTTGCTTTTTGGGATCCAGAGGTGTGCGTGAGTGTGTGTGTGTGCTATCCGAGGTGCTTCAGTGCCGCGAAGAGAAGATTCCAAGTTTCCGTGAGGACCTGAGGAGGATTTTTCGGTGCGTGCGCGCGCGACGCGCCGGTAACCTAACCTAACTGCGAGGAATGAACGCGCAACGATAATTGTACGCGTTGGAAAAGCCATCTTTACGTGCGTGTTGCTTTCGAAGTGCTAGTGAACATCCAGAGTACAGTAAAGTCGAGACAAGGACATAAAGGTGACTGGACGTGACAATTTCCGATACCGTGGCTGGCGTACGAAGCCTTTTTGTGACATGTGCCACAGGAACAACGTTTGAAAACCAGAAGATTACTTTAACCAGCCAGTGCTCTCCCGTTCGACTACCTAAGGATTATCCTCGTGTTTACGGTGAGTCTAGATATATTCGTTCTGTTTGATGCAAATGGATTTTACGCGGACTCCGTGATTTTATGGAAAAGGCGGCAAATGTGTTGCTTGCGAACACTGTTTAGCGAACAATGGGTTGGTAATCCTGTTAGCGTGTACTTCGACGCTTAGGGGACGATTTCGCTGTTTTTTTCTTTCGGTAATCAGCCCTTTATAGGCTGGTATTTTGAACCAATTTGGATATGGGTATATACGTCTATTCATATACATTAGGGTGGTCCTTGTGTTAATGATTTTTGAAATCTATATTTGTTATACACCCGTTAAATACTTTGCAAGGACATAAGAAAATATTCCTGCAACTCTTTTCTTTTCTTTAACTCTGGGAAAAATTGATGAAACGATTTGAAATTTGCCCAAGTTGTTACTTATAATTAGACTGAGGATCTTTATCCAAAATAAAATCTTCGCGAACGTGCCCATAAAAATTGAACCTAAATAGGAATTTATTTTATTGTGCACATATTATAACATAAAGTTTACTTTCAATCGTTTGTATATTCTTGCATATTGTTTGCATTTTGTAGCTTCTTGTACATTCAAATTCTCTATAAATGCACAAAAATCCGCAGAGCAAATATTATAACACGAACTTTACTTTCAATTTTTTTTATATTTTTGCATATTTTTTCCATTTTGTAGTTTCTTGCACATTCAAATATTCTATAAATGCATACAGATCCGCAGTCTACTTGTAATAATAGGAAGAAGCTCTACAAATTTCAAATTTTTACCAATAATTATTTTCTTACGTATCAGCTCAGTGAATACGAAGCTATTTTCTCTACTTAAAATATTTTTGTAACACTATCTCAAATGATTTAAGCATAAATTGTTTTTGAAAGAAGAATTTCGATATACAACATTTTTTGATTACCTAAAACAGAATTTTTGTTAATGGAACTTTAATAAAAAATAGAAAAAATAAGTTCATATTTACTAGGCTGATATATAAGGAAATAATTAAAACAAAAATTTGAAATTCTCAGGCCCTGTTCCTATTACAGAAGATATAAGAAATGTAACCGATTGAAGACAAGCCATGTATCTTCAATTAAAATTTTTCGAAAGTTTTGGGCACGTGTTAATGTTAAAATTAAGAGCTCATATTTTATAGGAATATTTTTATATTTATTTTCAATTTATTTAGGTGGCGTGTGACATAAATTTCGGAAATCATTGAAATAATAATCTCGCGAATAATAAATGATCACTGTAATACATGTTGAATGCGAAGAGGAATTATATGTATGTATAGATTACTTTGTCACGTCGTAATTTACTTTCAATATAAGATTACCCGTTACATTCTAGATTAAGAATTTAGTATTCTTCTCACGGTAATGTACAGACATACGGTAACTTACAATATTTCGATTAGGTTTTGTAAGAAATCTAGATCGTAATTGTACCTTGCAATAACAATTACGGCATTCATCAAGGGTTCGTAACGCGTAAAAAATTTATTTTCGAATATGCACGCGTGGAAACGTTTACGTGGCTTATTCGAAGCCGAAATACAAGTACACAGTGACCTCTCGCGATCTTATATCGAGCGGATCTCGACGAAAATGTACCGAAACCAGAAAACCTAGCCCGCAGAATGTTACAAGATCCCGATGTATACATATTGTTCACGTTTACGTTGCTCCAACTGGAATGAAATATAAGACGGCGAGGGTTTGGAACATTCCAGAAGAGTCTACAGCGTTGTACTATTGGTTAGAGAAAATCGTAACTCGTAGGGTACGCGGTAGGAGCTGTTTATTGTTTTTCTTGCGTTTCATGCGTCAATAACAAAAGTTTCATGTGCTTTTTTCTTTCTTTTTCCAAACAGTACGGTAGTAACTGAGAATGAAGGTTTTAGAGAATAATATTATTTAGAATTGTTCGTGACGCGTTTTCACATTTCACTGATTTTTCTTAAATAATATTTTCAACGTTGCTTTATAATTGAAGATTTTTTGAAGCAGGTTTAATTATATTTATATGCGTACAGAAAATTAAGTAATCTTTCTACGCTCTTCATATACAAAAATCATTGAATATTAATCGTTTGAATAGTATAAAGAATAATTAAATAATCTTTGTGTAACCATCATCCATCGGTTCATATCTTCGTGTTTATGCTATTACTAGCCAGCGTTTTTCTCGTAAATGGTACATATGACAAAGAAACGAAAGAGGAAAAAATTTATACTGTTTTTTGTGTGCAATGTAACCAGGTGGATAAATTTTTCGTATTTATACTCTTTTCTGAGAAATGAAGGTGACCTTCAGTTTTTTTAAATGGAATGGTATATTTTTTATACAAAAATATGGTAGAGCATCGAATTCTAAGTAAAAAAGTATTGACCTTTATTAGCCCTAAACCTCATAGGTAACGAGTAATTTCACTTTATTACTTGAAAATTTTCTTATCGTAATATCAAGATGGAGATTCAATCTTATCACAGATTTCCGCAGGACAGCGATGTGTACAGGCATGGAGCTCCCGATGAAATGCTAGGCGACAGGGATGGTGTTTTTCTCTACGAAGAATTCGTACTACAATTGTTTGAATCTCAATCTTCATATTACGTTAAGAAAATTTTCAAGTAATAATACTTAAGTCAATACTTTTTTATTTAGAATTCGATACTCTACCATATTTTTGTATAAAAAATATACTATTCCATTTAAAAAACTGAAGGTCACCTTCATTTCTCAGAAAAGAGTACAAATATGAAAAATTTATCTACCTGGTTACATTGCATATACAAAACAGTATCACTTTTTCCTCTTTCAGTTTTTTGTCATAGGTACCATTTAGGAGAAAAACGCTGGCTAGTAATAGCCTGAACACCCTGTATATTAAAATTTCAATACCCATGAAATGTTGCTTATTGTTATTATCCTCTTACAATTATAATTATTAAGTACACTTGTAATCTATTAGAAAAACAATAATAAGCAAAATTTGTTGGCTGATGAACTTGGAACAATATTGTTATATTTTACTGGCCATCAGGTTGAGACTCGGGTTATCTCTATTTATGTAGATTTATGTAGGCTTGTTTGAAAAATGTAGAATAACTGGAATGTTTATACGTTCGCGTTTGTTCTGTCGCAAAGAGTAAATTAATTAGACGCCGTTGAAGTGATTGAGGAATATGCGACGTTACCAGCTGTCGGTGACGGGAGATAATTACTCAAAAGCGTGGTTATTAGTGGTACTCTTTGATACGGTAATGTGATATTTAGCACAATTTTGCTGCTCAGTCAACCTACATGAAAAACTTGTAAATTGATAGTTAAGGCAGGGTTCTGGTTTGTCATTTTCAGGAACATTTGTTTTTAGAAACTAATTATCACGCGATATTAAAATTTGCCGACGTAATTTGTTAAAGTTTAAATGAATATGAATAAATGGACTTGCACTACTTAAAAAGAAAAGACGGCTCGATTGATACTATGGTAATTTATGAATCGATCGTAGATAAACAATTTTTCATTTAAAATCTAAAATTTGAGGCTAAATAAAGAAATCTAATATTTGAAAATTTTTATTTGTATTTATGGTCGTGCAATAGCGTTTTCTTCAAAATGATAAACAATTTTTCATCGTGAATATAAAATTTTAGAATAAACAAAGAAATTTAAAAACTGTTTGAAAATGTTAAATTGCATTCATTATCGTGTAATAGCGTTATCCTAAAAAAAAACTACGATTAAAAAAAAAAAGTTAAACTGCCACAAATCGTTAGAAACATCATTTTAAGATCTCCGAGTTTGGAAAAGTGTGGTTATTGGAATTTTCGAATTTTGGTTCATTTTCGTCGAGTCTCACCAGACATAGGACCACAACAGGTTAACACTGACGGCACTTACGCGTTCACTTGCAGTCTTCGGCCTCGAGCTAAAACTTAACCATATCCAGAGATGATTGCACTAACAAGAAGGAGCTCAGAAGTGGAGACGTGCTTTTTTAATGAGTCATATCTCAAATAGTAGCTCTCAGCGAGCTGTTTAAGTCCTCCCGCTTTTATGTCTTTGAGAATGTAAATCAAGTATGTTTCTCAGCCACCGTTGAATATCAAAAGTGTGCGTCAGAAAAATATTTGTTTACGCATTCGCTGCGACAGAAATGTTCATTTATTCCAAATCAAATTTTACTTTATAAAAGTTCTTCGTTTGAAATTAAATCGACCGAACTATACTTCAAAGCATACTAATGACGAAAATTAAACGATTCTGATGATTGAAAATAGGGTTCATCGCACAAAACTTGATCCGTGCTTGTAAATTGAATGTTATTACTTTATTTCGTTAATATAAATTGCTTTCCTCTTGTGAAGGGTTAATGTTTGCACCGGAAACACCAGATATCTCAATGATTTCAATGCGAAATAAATTGAAAAAATTAACAAGTGTGCTTTAAAACATAGCTAAAACATTCCCATAGTTAAACAAAATATTTCAAATTTTTCTCAGTAAAAAAGAAAACAAAGAATACTTAATATTTGTCCTCCTAATGTGTCAAATACCTCAACG